TATTTTTTAAAAGTGAAACAAATAATCTATTTTAATAATCTAGTAAAATAAGCTGAAAAGAACATGACCTTAGGGCTCTATTGGAGCCGAACAATTTTACGAGAACTTTGTAGGAAACAAACTGTTTTCTATGAAAATTCTGTAAAATTTCCGTGTTCCAAATAAGCCCAAATTTTGTCACTTACTTATACTGAAACTTCACTATACTGCTTATCACAGTTCAAAAGTCCCTCCTGATTAACAGCGATCAAACTAACTGCTCCATATAATGTAGTAGTAACCTTGAAGCAGGTTACTAGACAAGCAAAAGCAACTCCAATTTAATTTGTCCACAGGAACACCTTTTTACTGAACAATGAGGACTGCTGCTATGTAGTACTCCTACTTGTCTGACAGAGAGACAGAAAGGAACAGTTGGTAATTAACCTGTGTTGACAACACAACGCAAAATTGACGACGGCACCACCTTTTTGCACTCCTCAAACAGTCGCCGCATTCAATTAATTAAGATAACATTACTACAATTAATTTTGGTAATTAAGCTACTATTATAATACCAGGTTAGCTGTAAGATGAAGCTTACAAGATACTAAAAGAATAACTGATTCTCAACCAAGACTTCATGCCAAACTAAATACGCACTTCTCTGAAGACAAATACTACCAGATGATGGCATCATCACACCAATCTGAAAAACTACCTTTGAAGCTACGTACAACAACAATGGCTTCCAAAGACAAAAGAGAAAGGATTAATCATGAGATTCCAAGCTACAGCCACGAGTACATTCCTATCAGGTGTCCCTGACACACGATCTAAATGGATTAATTATGCAAAGATGACAAGACATCACATACATAAAAGCTAACAGAAAAAAGATAAAGGTTTCACTTCCATTGCATGCAAGCCATGAAAAGTAAATAGACACCTCAACTCTTTTAATCCTTTTTATTTGTACTATGAAAACGATTGTGCAATAGATAAATTTATATATAATTCATTATCATTATCAATCCATCACACGCTAAAAGGACTGGAGGCCCCTCTAACGGGGACACAAAAACTTTTGGAAAAAGAAAGGAGAATGGATAAATAAAGGTGGCATGCACCTTTGGATGGTGAGCACCTTAAAATTGAGGGATTACCGGTTTACTCACGACTATTTGTCTTGTCCTTCTAACAATATCGAATATGTTTTGTCTTTTGTTAATGAATGTATCGGCCAATCTAGTTTTGTTTTCATGCGATTTATATTTCAATTTACCTCTTGCTGAGACAAAGTGTGAAAACCAGAGAGAGATATACTATATCCGGTCATATTCTATTATATTCCCTCCGTCTCATTTTAACCGCAGTTATGAATTTCTATGTCCAACATTTAACCGTCTGTTTTATTTTAAAAAATTAAAACCTATATATCAAGAGAAGCTCAAAATTGTTAATGTGACTTAGTGGTTCCCATTGAATTTGGACTCTATATCTACCTGGGTGAAAACTCAACTTATATATAAATTTGTTTGCGGTAATAATTTGTTTGAAATTTATTATTTTTATATCTCACAAATAAAGTTGAGGTTAGATAATATTTTTTATAATATTGTGTAACATCAACTTATCTATATGTGCGATTCTTTTTATAATTTAGGTGACCTTTTAGTTAGGATTTCCAACGGATATTTACCCTATTTTACCTTTACATTTACATGTTATCTCCCCTCTCTATCTCTCTCTCTACTTAGAAATGCAGAACTACAAATCTCGAAACATGGCCGGTTACTACCGGTATTTGTGCTTATTTCGTTTCATGGAAGCGAGCATCTGTCTTGTGTCCTATGCCTCCTGTCTAGCACATATATATGTTGCCCTTTGCAAAGGAAAGTTTGTTTAAATTCTTTTCTGCTCTCGAGAAAGGATTCAAAGTAAAATCCAAAGTAGGTTCCCTTCTAGGGGTCCATACGGGACGGAAACAAAATGATATGTATTTTTCATTCTCGAAAAGAGAAAACTAAAGAATTTGAGTTTCTACTCTAGCATTGGATACCCGTAGGAACATGACAAGTTTTGGGTTTGATGCATGTTGGAGCATTTTGTAGTATTGTACTCCTAGCTACTCCCTCCGTCCCATAAAAAACTAACTTCTGGCTACGAACCTAGACGTAGTGTGTGTCCAGATTCATAACCAGAAGTTGATTTTTTCTGGGACGGAGGGAGTAGCTAAGAGCGCTACTATGTATCATTTGGCTAGTACAAATGTCAAAGGGTTGGCTCCACATTTCATGGCGAAATTAAAACACTATCCCTATTATCCGAAGGTCATAGTATTTGTCGATGACATGGGACCGGGAGTATCATGACTAGAGGCTTGGGCAGGAGCAATCACCCACGTGGCCTGACCCCCTCGGGGGGTCGGGCCCGAGGGTGATGTGACCGCCCCTCTCTTTGTCTCCCCGAGGGATCGGACCGCTCCCGTTTCGGCCCCGAGGGCCGAGGCGCGCCCCGACCCCTTGTGGGTTTTGCGTCGCGTATGGGTTAGGTGAGCACAGCGGGGCTCACCTAACCGCATTTATTGTGGTTTGAACGAGCGCGTCACGCCGCATGTAACGCAGTGCAGCGCGCTCGTTTATCCGGTCTGTGACCGGTCACAGACCGATCAGATCGCGGGTTAGGTGGCAACAGGCGGTCTGACACACGCCTCGCCCCATCCCGTCAGGATGAGAGCCTCCAGGCACTCGTCCCTAGCCGGAGCCAGCGTGCTAGCTCCTGAAGATGGCACGTTGGTCCCGGTCAGATATATGCCAGGCTTCATCCCAACCATTACAAGCAAGACATTGTATGAAGAAGGACGAACATGCAGATTGATAAACTGACGCGTGGTGGACAAGAATGACCGATTTGTGACCGGTCTGACCCTGGTCATGTCGTCGGCAGACAGCCATGATCCCACGTTGCACCTGCTTCCGGCGGAGTAGAGGTAGGTATGGGCCATCCCATCAGAAGGTCATTCGGACGGCAACCATTGCAAATCTCCGCCCATTGATGAAGGAAGGGCGGGCCAAGTTTTAGTAAAAAGAGGATGGGTCCCCATCGAAAGGAGAAATAGGTAGAAGTGGTGCATGTGGTATCCCCTTGAGATATAAAAGGAGGACCTAGCCCACTTAGGAGGGGGATCAGAGGTTGGAGACTCCCGGAGAATCCAGGAGAAGATCCCACGAGAGGCAAAAAGAAGGAAGAGGGTTTCTAGAGTTTGATCCCTCTTGCTCTCCAGCTCTTTGTAGCTTCTTCATACACAGATCCACCATAACACAGGAGTAGGGTATTACGCTTCTCAGCAGCCCGAACCTGTATACATCGCCCGTGTCTTGTGCGTTTCCACTTTCGCGAACATTCCACAGACCAGGAGCTTAGAACCTCACCCAGGGCCCCCGGCCGAACCGGCAAAGGGGGACCTGCGCGGTCTCCCGGTGAGGAGCCCCACGCTCCGTCAGTATTATTCGAGATAATCTGATCTATTTATCTATTTATTTTTGTTCTTATAAGGCGTTCATGTACATATTATTTCACCCCTCAAACTTTAGTTTGATTTGTAAGTTACATCCTATTATTACTCCCAAATTGTTATATGAAATTAAAGTACCTTTTGTTCAACATAATTCGATAACTGTGGACAATATCCAAACTCCTCTAGAAAAAGAAGTACGGTGCGATGGTGGTGAATTTGGCATGTCACCACATAATCCTTCCATATATATTGTTCTTTTTAATCACAGTTTAGAACAAAAATACAACTTTTATTGGAAAATTGATTCTAGTCACAAGTCACAAGGGCATCAAGCAACTACATAGACAGATGCCATCAATCACAACACCCAATTAGTCCATCCATGTATCTTCTCAAATATGCAATTGCCCCTTATGTTTTTGTACCAGCATAACGTACAACAGTTCATATCTCACTTCTGTAGTTCTGTTGGAGAAAAGGTAGCAAAAGGTAGATCTATTATTGGTTAATCAATGCATCAATTATAGAGTACTAAGATGTTGCAGTAAACTTTTTTGGGCAATCAAGATGTTGTAATAATGAATCACTACGTACTGTACTATTCTTTTTGTGTGGTGAGCAAGGTTAATAAAAGTAGAGGTGATTGATATATCTAATTTTATCCACATAATCTCTCATTAGTAATTAGGAGACAGCATACATAGTATATTACCTCTATCACACTAATATTATTTTATTCATTTGCTCCCAATCTACTAGTAGGTCTCTTGTGAGAGGTAGCAGCTCATCCTCACTTCTGTGAGTTCTCTCTTCACCTCATAATTCAAACTTACATAAACATTCTTATGGCTAGCAATTCAACGCGTATTTTACTTGCTCTTTAACCCATATAACACTGGCAACCCTCCTGGAATTACCACTAATCCCAACTTTAGGCTGGCTTATGGAAATGTAGCCTCATTATGAGAAAACCAACTACTTGCGCCGTTAAATTTTGATAAAAACTACATTGAATTTATTTTTCTTCCAGGAGACGAATGATTATGTCGGCATTAGCCATTTATTCCGATTTATGATAGATTCAGCTATCCTGATGAAACATGATGTGGCTGATAAAGAAAGAAAGAAGGGAAAAAAAAGAAAAAAAAAGAAAAGGAGATCAACGAATTATTGTTAGTTAAATCTAAGAAGGAAGATCTAATGTTGTTTTCAGGGATTAAAAAAGAGGAAAAAATGGTCAACACACCATTAAAGTGACCAAAGAAGAAATGCTGGCGAGTTGCTACATAGCTTTCAGAACAGATAGAAATAAGTGGCAACGCATCATTTAGTCTAGAGGTGCAACAAGGTAAAGAAAAATGTTGCACAAACACATTTTCCTGAGCTAAATTTTGCAGCAGCAAACTGAGACTGATGAATGGAGCAAAATCCTATCATAACTTCTTATCAGCCACATCATGCATAAAGTATTTCCAGGCTCGAAGAGATGAAGATAACAAAAAAAAGGACATTAATTCTTTCTCACATTAATAAAGAATGATTATACTGCATATATTAATTCTTTCTCACATTAGTAAAGAATGATCATACATTGTTGTATTCTTCATATCATTTCTTGCCTTCTTGGGTTCTGTCAGGGAAGAATCCACTAGATTCGTGGTGACCAGTAATTCATAATTTCATATAGCAATTATGCATAACATGCATTTCACTACATCTGTGAAAAATCTGCATGCAAAAACAAAAATGGAGCAATACCATATTTTGTTAGTTCCACTTCCAGCCCAGTTCCTCAGTTCCTGAGAAAACCTGAGACTGTCAGTTGATTGCTTTTAGGTCCTTGACTCCATGTACGCCGTACTTTATCGTCGATGTCCATCTGTCTCTTCACTCTTAATCTGTTGATAAGCTAAGAAGTTCAATCGTGCTGTTTATATTTTAAATTAGAGCCATGTGTGGAAAATTTATCTCAGACAATCACACTTTAGAGCGTCTCAAGTAAATCATCACCACAACCCCTGTTAGAACAACTGCACCTGCCATCAGGCCATAATGAGCAGGGGTCAACTGACTTGTGTGTGAAGATGTCAACTCTGGAGGTTGCTTTGTCACTTCAGAAGTGTGCTTTGTCACTTCAGAAGCGTGCTTTGTTACTTCAGAACTGTGTTTTGTCACCTCAGAACTGGAATTTGACTCATCAGTGTACAACCTCAATGACTGAAATTGAAAATTTCACTCCGGTGAAGCAATAGTCATAATCCAATGAACAAAAAAAGAACGCAATGTGAAAACAGAGGGACCAATCTATTTGAGGATTACAGAAAAGACAAACCTTCAATCCAGAAGATTTAGCATGGAGCACAGCCCCGGTAAGATCAGTATCCGTAGTGAGCAACACCCTATCACCTTCATCATCATCATACTGTACGGAACATTATCAAAATTTAGCTTGTAATTGTGGCTGAGGTGTGATAATTGAGCTGTAAGTGAAGTGCTTGTAACAGTTAAGGGTGCATTCACAATTTCATGGGATAATTAGTTACCAGCGCTACTCAAAATAAGACCGTTTTATGCCAGTCAACTTATAAATTTCTATAATACAGGCAACACTATATATAGTCTCTATGGTTCAATATAATGTCTATAAGAAAATCAGGATACTGAGATACAGATATGGGGTGACATAAGATAAAGATAAATTCTTATTCTTGAAGTGGATGGTGGTTAAGTACTTTCTTACATCAGTTAGCATTCCATATAAAACAACAGAACTTCTTGAACGATGATCAGACTGACAACCTTTTTTTTTTTTTTTGCTTCCAAACACTAACGAAATACATAAAATAAGGGACAACAAATTACCAAAAGTTGAACTGTGCCCTTTTCGCCATCAATGCCTAATCTTTGCACCACAGAAGACACCAGCTCATGTAAACTCTCTGAACCTGCAGAGACGGAACAAACCAAACTGTTAGTTAGAGCAGTACAACCATAGTTTAACATTCAACCAACTTGTAACACCTACCACATGCAAATCTATGCATACGTCCCTTCTGGTCCTCAATCTTAAAGACAAATGAATTGCCAACAACAGGAGGATTAATGCTACTCCTGCCATCTCCAGCCTCTGATGGCATGAGCAAAGATATTTCACTGAACAATGCAAAAATGCAGGTAAGAATTGCAAATTTGAAAAAGAGGACAAAGGACAAAAAAGGAAGCGTTAATTAACCTGCGACTATCAAATTCCTCATCTGGGGGCTCCAAAGCAAGAGCTGAGTCCCAAAACTTTTGCATTATTGTGTTTGCCACACCATTCGTGGTCTCAGGACCTCCTTCAACCTTCACACAGAATGATGTTAGATGAACGGAAACCATAAGGAAAAAGCAAGGAATGAGAAGCGAAAAAATACGCATGTGCAGAGAGACCATTGAAATGGCTGCATGGGTAATCTGCAGAACATCCAAGCAAGCAACAACTCTCCCTTCTGTTCATTTTTAAAATTAAAAAGTTCAGTCAGATATAAAATACTAGTACCATAAAGAGAAACCTTAGGCTGAAGAAGAGTCAAGTGTTACCTCCATCAACAACAGGAATATGCAAGAATTTGCCATCGCGCATAATATGCAGAGCATCGAGAATTGATGTGTCTAATGTAGCACATTCAGGGTGTGCAGTCATTACCTTGAGCAAAACAGTGAGTAATGCTGTTAGTCTAGAATGAATTGTATAACCCATCGGTAGTTTAAATCATTTAAAATAATATTCAATCTGGAGAAACAACCTTTTCTACATGAGTTAACTCAGGAGAGAGATTTTGTGTCACAACGCGCATAAGCACATCCTTTGAGCTGAATTTCACAATGACATAGCCATTAGTGCCTTAAGAAATATAAAATAATATAAACTCTAGAATAAAGAATTATTCCATAAAAGTATTGAAATGCTTACGTAAAAATCCCTTGCAATGAATTTCCTGCAGTGATAACCACTGAGTTAACCCGTAATTCATGCATTTTTCGTGCTGCTACACAAACAGGATCCCATGGTGAAACAATTGCTACTCTGCAAGTTAAAAAAGAGGTAACTCCCATGATTCAAACCACATTATGTTGGATGATCCATTTTATACCACCAAGTTTCATTCAGTGTCTACAATATACTACTGATGTCTCACTGCCCACATGGCCACATGTCATCCTCACAGTGAGTGGTCTACTATGGATATGAATAAAACTCAGTGGCATGGTGTGGATTTATCCCAAAAATGGAATACTAATAAAAATTTCATGTACTTTGTGTTCTCCGAGATAATGGTTGACAATGAAGGTTTAAGCATCCTTTCTCTTAGAGTTTCTATTACACTGGAATGATCTGCAAATGGTAAACACAGTAATTTGGTCAGCTAAACAAGACCAGAAAACAGTGGTTAAGTGAAATCTATTTAGAAAATAATGTACAAATGTATACAGTAAAGCATCAAACATCAAACATAGTTCCAATCCTGAGAATCATCTCATTATTCTTTGGGATAAACTGGGTATTACAAATTGCTCATAACCTAGTTCACATGGCTACTGACTGCAGTATACATTTTCTGTTCTTGTGTAGCAATGAACATTTAGAGTGAAACAAAGGAAAATAACTAGTCAGCACAATATGCAACAGAAAACCTGGCAAGTTGTCTCCCACTTGACGCTCAACCCCTTCTACAGCAGCTGCTAATGCACTTCCCTGTTCTGCTGCCTTTTCCAGTCTTGATATTGCATCATAGAGGCATTTTGCAATGTCTAGCATGGCAATAACCTCACCATTTTCCACCACTGGGAGGTGCCTAAATTTTCCTAAAACGTGAGTGTTTCATATTAGCTCTAAGGAGAGGAAAATGAACATACTTGGAATACGGAGAGACAGTATATAAAACAATTGGAATGATGAGCCCATGTTATTAAAATAAGAAACAAACTTTCTAACAATGACCATTGATTTCATAGCATAGCTGTTACTGCTTTATTAACAAGTGAATAATGCTTTCTTAATATGCATACAGGTCATTGGGATTGTAGAATGCTGATGTTCAGAGGTTAAAGATATGCAGTTGTCCTATAGTAAATTAAATTTAGCCAATGAGACTCTCAATACTGGAAGAATGTCTAGAAATTAGAAAGTTCCTCTGAAATTAATTTAGATTATTGCTAAAAGGAAATGCAACAAACTTGAAAAGACAAACTGATGAATGCATAAAAGACTGCAAGAAAAGAGAAAAAAAAATGGAAGTACTCAAATAGTTTAATAGTCTTGACCGAATAGATTTTCAAAGAGATTATACTGTAAACAGGGAAAGAGAATGCTGATTGAAGCTTCTCAGAAATACAAAAATAGTGATAATTTTAAACAATATGGCTAGTCCAACATTGTCAACAAGGATTTACTGATCACAACATTATTATCCAAAACATTCTCACAATAAGTAGCTACAACAAAGATAACTAATGCATATGAAATATACTCCACAGCAGCTTGTAGGAGTTAAAGGAAGTGAGTTCAATTGACCCAAGTCCGAAGTATCTGAACCAAACAGGCAGATCACTGGGTCTATGCTTTAAGATTACAAGATACCTTGGACCATTTTCTGCAGTGCTTCAATAGCAAGTGTGTCAGACATGACATAAACAGGAGTTCGTGTCATGATCTTGGAGGTGATTGTTTGCTCAACCCGCAACCCCTCTGCAATCACCCTTTTAGCTATGTCCTGTATCCAAATTAAGCAAATAAGAAACGAAACGATAAAGAATCTCCTTATCTCCTTTAAGCTAGAAGTACCAGCCATGTCCTATATCCCAATTATGCAAATAAGGGCGAAAAGATAAAGCATCTACTTTAAGCTTTAAGTACCATAAGCATAAGATACTTTGGCATGTACTTATAGTATTAAATCATTGCTGTGATTTGTACAAACTTACAGTCGAACACATAACATAGGCACCCGCAAAGAAAAAAGAAAAAAAGAAAACACAACATGGTTGGGCCGCAGTCGAATACATAAGAAGCAAAATACATAAATAACAATTGATTCATGGAGCATTAGTCAAAGTATTTAAACTCTCAACGATTCATTATTGAACAAGTCAGATGTGGCAAAGAGGAGTTGTGCAGTCCTAAGAAAAAGTTGCAATAACATAAAGCGTCCATCTTTAAGAAATCTAGGCACTTGATGTAGACACAAGCAAAACTCTATATGGAGTTTCGTAGAGTACAATTATACCAAAACCCACTTATTAGCCAATCGCAACCACCTCCAGCTTAGAAAACACATCACAGATTGATTTGAAAAATAAAATAAGAAGAGGAAAATTACTTTATCGGTGACGATGCCGGAGAGTAATCCGTTGGCGTCCGTGAGCAGCACGGCGTCCACCCTCCTCGCCGCCATCCGCTGGCAAGCCTCCGCCACCGTCGTCCCCTCCGGGATCGTCACCGCCTTCGTCAGCCGCAGCTTCTTCACCGTCCTCTCCCCTCTGAAGAAAAAGAAGAAAAAAAAATCCAATCTCTGTAAGGATCAAAGGCGGCGAGGAGAGAGAGAGAGAGAGGCAATCTTGGTACGCGGCGTGGCTGGGGGAGGGCGTGGCTTCGGCGGTGGAGATAGCGGCGACCGCGGCGGCGGGATCATCGGACTTCTGGGAGGAGGCCACCGACGGCGGGCGGCTGCGGGTGCGGCGGTTCAGCGCCACGCCGGCGGCACTCATGGCTTCGTCCGCCGCCGCCTCCGCTGCTCCGGAATCAGCGATGTAGTTGGCAGTGGGCGGAGAGAGGGATCGTCGGCGGCGGTGGCGGCCGCCGGAAAAATTGGAGGGGGGGAGAGGTGGCCGGTTCGACTGGGCTCCCACACGCCACGATTGATGAATACCCCACGTGGGAGTTTTTTCACATCGATCTCTTGATGACGTGTCAATGTCAGGTGGGTCCCACACATGCACTTGATGGGAACTAATAACCAGATGGAAAAAGTCCACTTTGACCGAATCTAATAGCCGAATCTAATTCGTACCCCTCAACTAAAAAAGGGGATAGGACGACTCCTCGAACTATTGAAAAATCAGTGTAATTTAACTCCTCCAAGACAGTTAAGTACAAATTGCGGAGATTCGCACCCGATCGGAAACAGGCCATACGAGAAGAACTCGACAAACTTCTCAAAGCTGGTTTCATCAGAGAAGTCATCAATCCAGAGTGGCTCACCACTCCAGTAATGGTACGCAAAGCCAACAGAAAGTGGAAGTTGTGTGTCAACTTCACCGACCTCAACAAGACGTGTCCCAAGGACTACTTCATTCTTTCCTTGAATAGACCAATCGGTAGATTCAAAAGCCAGTTGTGAGCTCTTAAGTTTTCCTAATGCTTACTCCGGCTACCACCAGATCAGCATGGCAAAGGAGGACGAGGAGAAAACAGCGTTCATCACACCCTTTAGTGTGTTCTGTTATATGAAGATGCCGTTTGGATTAATAAGTGCAGGCAACACATACCAGCGCGGGATCCAAGGAGCACTTGGCGATCAGCTTGGACGAAACGTCGAAGCATATGTGGACGACATCATCGTCAAGATCAAGACAGGCGAATAACTGATCGATGACCTAAGGGAAACGTTCGACAACCTCTGAAAAAAAAAGATATTCGAAGTCATACTTTAGTATGATTTATCACTCACCTGTAGTCATTGTTAAGAACCTTCGGTTTTCTTAGAAAGCGGAAGAAACTAATATTCTGATGTGCTCAGATTCATATGTGACGGGTGATTAGAGAAGGTTCTAGTTTTAGCAGGATTGAGATCAAATGCAGTAGCTACTAGGACTGCACGGTAACTACTGCACACAATCTGAGCCCTCTATGTCAAAATCTAACGGCCAAAACGGATTTGGCACAGTAAAATCAGAACAGTACCTTTCCATCACTACAGTGTTTTGCTACAGTGCTCGGATATATCTGGGACGTCCATTTTAAATCATGCGATGCTAGTTTGACTGCTTATTTTGCAGTCCCACTGGCTACTGCACCTGAATCGGATCCGTTTTAGCATGCAATATGTAAAAGTGAAAAGAAAATGAAATAGTGCTTTGTTTTATAAGCTCTTTATTGGTTGGTAGATATGCTGCTTAAATAAAATTGTTACGGTGGTAATATACTACCTCCGTCCCAAAATAAGTGCAGTTTTGCACTATTCACGTTCAACGTTTGACCGTCCGTCTTATTTGAAAAATTTATGAAAAAATTAAAAACATTTAGTAACACATAAAGTACTATTCATGTTTTATCATCTAATAGCAATAAAAATACTAATCATAAACAATTTTCAAATAAGACGGACGGTCAAACGTTGAACGTGAATAGTGCAAAACTGCACTTATTTTGGGACGGAGGGAGTATTAGATATCTTAAAGGTGCTGGATTAGCTGCCCTCCTAGCGATTTGGGAAGCCAGCGCCCACTGCGACATCGACATGTCATAACAAGCAAAAAAAATTTAATAAGCGTTAGATTAACTGCAGGCCCCGCCGACCCACTCATTGATTTTTGCAGAAATCCCCTCATTATTTCGGTATTTCCAGTCGAGTCCACTGAATCAGAGCCGTTCAACCCCACGCGTGGACACAATCTGACCATTCGTCTCCTATCTAGATGGCTCCGTCCTTACCTACCCGTGGAATCGGTCGTCGCTCATCTCCCCACGTTGCATCCCGTCATCCCCATCGAGCGATCCCCTTCCTCCTGATTTCTGTCTAGAGGCGGCATCGATGCTCCTCGCCTCCTCCAAGATCTTCCATCGTAGGTCGTCACCCACGACGGCTTGCCATCTGCTATCCCGTGCCCAGATGTTGGATGCATGATCTCCTCCGTCGGCACAATCCGTGTAGCCGCATCCATCGGCGTTCGTCTCCCCGTACGGTGGCGACCGGATTGGCCACTGACCAGTGCCTCATCTCCGTACACGGGAGTGGGGTTTTCTTCTGTTCAAGCTCCCTCCTCGGCTGCTCCGTTCATCTTCTCTGGATTTCTCTGGTGAGTCTGCTACATTCTTTGCCTTCTTTTATCCCCTTCCTTCACCCTTCTCTGGTCAACTACATCAGTGGCTGCAAGCCTGCAAGATGGAGCTGAGTTGGGAGGCTGAGCAAGCAGCAACAGGAGGAATCAAGGAACAAGGGGGAAAATGTGAGGGAGGAGGAAACTGGGATACCTAAGTAATTTGCTAATGCGTTTTTAGGCTACCTATTCCAATCCCTCATCGTATGGTGTACATTCAGATTCAGATATGATTGGCTTGATATTTAGGAGGTAGGTTCGTGCTTTGTCCTAATTTCAGTTATTTGTTTTTATTTTCACAAAATTGTTCAATTTGGATATACCTAACTTTTTCAGTCTTTAGAGGCCAAATCAAGGAATGCAAATAACTATAGAGTTGTACAGGGTTCCTTAAGCCCTCTATTAAGGTAAAGAACATGGAAATCTACCAAGTAGAATAGAAGTTATCACAATCTGAACTCTGTTGTATTGCAGTTCAACCATAACTCGAGCTGTCAACTTGCAAGGGTTTTCATCCTGTCTATATGGTCAAATATTGCCACTCTGTAACTAAATGTTGTAAGGTATGTGATCCTCAATCCAATGTTTGCGTATTAATTTACTTATTGTATCAAGCTTTTCTATTAACAGAGTTGTGGTTTCTTGTTTTTCTTGTTCTGTATATATTGCAATTCAATATTTTTATATCAGCTACTGGATGACAATGATTTTCGAAAACTGACATGGCACCTCACTTGGTCGCATTAACGAATCTAGAGTCATGTTCTACTTAATTTCAGCGATATGTGCAGTTCATTATGATTTTCTCTAATATATGATGTGTCTCAGCCTGTGAGATAGTTGCCAGACACTTATAATCGGTAGGTCATCCAAGATACAAGTACAAAGCAAGAGATATTCATCAAAGGGTACACAACAATTTTGTAGGTAAGTGGCTTTCAGTTTTGTTGTAAAAAAAACTTATGGGAAATTTTAGATGTGCTACTTTATTCGCTGAAGTGTTATCTGTATAGATTAGTTTCACCTCATTATACACGAGTTCATGCAGGACCAACACAAATTATTGCCATGCATTCTCTATATTCTTCACTGTGTATGATACATAACGATATAAGTGATATGATGGCATTAAACTATTGAGAACTGCGGTTTGGTATTATGTGCCAGATTACCCATTTCAAAATTATACAAATGAAACATCCTATTGCAATAGCTATTGTTCGGCTTTAAATATCTGAAGAGGATTTTACCAAATTGTTCTTTCGTCCAGGACAGCCATGGTATCTGATTATTCTCAATTGTTCTTGATCTTCAGACAAGTGAAAAATCGTTGGTCAGTTTGAAGGAACAAATTTCCTCTTGCAAAATACCTATTCCTGTCTAGAGGGCCAATGCACTATCCTCAGCTCAGGAAAACATAATGGATGAAGCTGTCAATTGTTCCACTGAGAAACAAACACAAGATAAGATAATAGTGAACATTCATACTGCATTGATCTCTGCTCTGAGTTCTGAGCAAGAGGTAAACCTTATGAACTTTCTTATTTGATTTATTTCTGAGATGTGCTTATTAAATTTTTGCATGGTGGCATTAGTAATGTTATATGGACTATCAGGTCAATCTTGACGCTTCTTGAATTGAATCAATGCAAAAAAAACACGATAATTATTTTTGCCCTTTGTATCATGGAGAATTAGTAGACATTTTATGTTCAGATATTATAGTCATATGTGTTTACTTAAAAGCCGTGGGATTGGTTGAAGGTTAGGGCCGCCACGTCAGCAAATTTTACAAAAAAGACCCTGTGTTTTTGTTAATTACATACTGGTTCCCACCAACATCGTCCGTTCGATCTCGCGGTAGAGCCGATCTAACCGTCCACGTGTCCACTGTGGCGGCCCTTTCTCAGCCGTGGGATCGTCGAATTGGCAATCAACGGCATAGATTTCGTCCGGCCGGACCAAACCCTAGCCCCATCGCCCGTCTCGGACGCAGCCTGGCGCACGCCTCTCCCTTCTACGCGACTACGCCGCCACGCCGTCGCCTCTCGCCGCCGCCTCGCCCTTCTTCCTTTGCGCGCGCCGTCGCCGCTGCATCCTCGCCCTCCTCCGGCCATCCTCGCCCTAGCCGCACTACCAAGCCCCGCGTGTGTGACCTCGCCTGTCGCCGCCGCCGCTCGACTGCCGCCTCCGCCGCCGATCGCCTGCCGCCGCCGCCGCCGCCGCGGCTGCTCGCCTGCCGCCGTGCCGCTCCCCTCGCTCCGCACACCAGGCCACCTTCTCCCCTCTTCTCCCCTCTCATCTCCAGGCCACCCACCGCCTCCCTCTTCCTCTCCCTATCCTCGGTGAGCTACAGATCCGGTTCGGGGGTCATCGGAATCGATGGTCTCGGCCATTGGTCTCCTCGTTGGTGAATCATTTTGATACCCCTTTCAGCCACAATTGTTTTGTGCATACATTTAGCACAAAATCCACAAGGTAAGGCAATGGTTTTGACTCGCCATTGAGCATTTCCATTGCGTTTGCTGGTGTTTTTACATGATCCCACATCTTGCCTTAGGTTCTGTGGAGAAATTGATGGGCTAGGATGAGGTGTTGGTCGCAGATTACAGAGAGGACGACTTTTATGCTGCGCATCTACAGTCATACTGAGCAAATCCTCTCTTAAGCAGGGCTGCGATATTTAGATTATGGTGAGTTTTTCTTGGGTTCAGATTATTTCATATGAATTTAGCTGTCAGAAGTTCCATGGTTATTGGTTTTGTTGCTGCATTGTATGGCACCCCTTGATAGAATGACGTCAGGAAGGAAAAAGAAAACCATGCTAGGTACTACAAGGCTATAAGTATAAGGTTATATGAGAGTATTCTGCAAACAGGATATGCAATGGAAGGATATTCTTTTTATTAACTTTGCTAAATACCTGCCAATAGCCCAATACTGACATCAAAACCCCCTAGCTCTAATACTGGGAGCATAACACGCCGATAGACAGTGTGCAAAGCTTTTACTGATGTCTAATTTGTTGCAACAAAATTATTACTACACCGGATTTATGTGGTTTGTTGTGTTTGTCCAGTTCAACAAAGAAAGTTGGTAGGATCATGGAGGAAATGAATCTTATGGTTATTTTTTCATTGCTTGGTGGTGTTTCAGACAACTCAGTCTGCTGCCATATATCCATAAAACAAAACGTTCCGACAGGTAGTTATTTAGTACTATCCTACAAACTTACATTCTGCCAAAAAAAAATAACTTTCAGCGTGCCTGTTATTTTTATAATTTAATGTGTAAATGATGAAGAGTGCAAGCATCTTTCTCCTCTGCCTTGACACAAGAGTTTAGGCCTCTAGAATGTCCTAGCAGCACTGAAAGTACTCTATGCATATAAGCATATAAATTTTCCATGTTGCAAGTCACAGTTATGCCAGTTTGCTTCTGGTTATGTCCACAACATATTCAATGTTGCAAAATAAATATAATGTAGCCATGCTTCAGGTTACAGCTTCCAATCCACTCTTTTAATATTATGTAGTGTGGCATATGCTTATGAAAGTAATCCATAATACTACTATCTTCTGTTAGGCTTTCACATTTAACTATTTTATTTTGTTGACATCGTTTAACCTGGTTTTTTTTCCCCTTTTCCTAAGTGGTTGGTTGATACTATTCCAATAGTATAGGTGCATACCGCTTATTGGTTTATTTTGGGTAATCACATACGCGATGTGCCTACTTCTACATTTGACTATTAGACCATGGTTTAAAATGCTATTTACTTGCTTACTTCTACATTTAAATTATCAGGAATTGTGTTCATCTTTTAGAAATAACATTCTGTCAGGTCAGAGATTTCGGATGGTAGTTTGCAGTTTGCTCATGAATTTGCTTTGTACTTCCTCCGTCCCATAAAAACCAACCCTAGGGAACCAAACCTAGGGACGTCCTAGGGATGAATCCGTCCAGATTCATCCCTAGGTTTGGTTTTTATGGGACGAAGGGAGTATAAATTAAGACTGTCATTTTACTGCAGTTGGCCTGCATTCATATTGAAAGATTTAACACCATCTTACCCTTAGGATCTGTCGAGTGACTGATGAATTACGATGAGGTGTTGTTCATAGATAAGAGAGATGTCTTGTGTGGTACCACTCTGTTGTGCCATCCTGCCGAGGGACCCATCTAGCTTTGTCCTCACTCTTAAGCATGGTATGTACTATGCAATATTCAATCGATAATCTCCTTGTGAAATTTGTCAACAATATTAGATGCACTACTAGACCCCAACAATTTCCTTCTTTTTTTTTGTTTTTAACTACAACCCAGTGATTCCTTTTATTGCTTCCATGTAGTATGGGGAAGAATATTCTTTCATGCAGTAAGGCAAGAAATCATTCTGTCATAAGTTAATACAATTCTCTTATGATTATGTAGTATGCACTAGGTTAGTTCATTCTCTCTCGACTAGATTGTTCGCTGTCTAGGATTAACTAGGATTAAAAGGGATATCATATTCCTTAAATTAATGTTTGCTTCTTTTGGTTTGTGGCAAGATCAGATTCATGTTCATGCTCAGTTTTGTGGATTCAAGTTTGAAGAACACAAACAATATGCAGGTGCATCGTTTTTTATTTATTTCCATATTGTTCATGTACAACATTGTTTAATTTTAGGAAACACTAACTGCTTCATGTTGTTCCTACCTCTATTCTGAAAGAGGTACAGTTTCAGCAGGGAGATTCATCTTGCAGGACACAATTCATCTTCTTTACCACAGTACGGTTAACAAAAGCTTAATTATATTATAATGATCATATACAATTATGCTTCACTTCTATTAAGGGAATTTTTCTTTACTTCAGATTATTTCATATGAATTCAGTTGTCAGAAATTCCATGTTTATTGCTTCTACTGCTACATTATATATGGTATGATATGGTGGTGCCACCTTACCTAGCTTGATAGAATGACATCGATGGCAAAAAAAAAAAAAAAAAAAAAAAAAAAAACATACTAGGCATCACTACAAGGCTATCAATAGAAAGCTTATATGAAAGCATTCTGCCAACAGGATATGCATTGAAAGGATATACTTTTTATTAAGATTGCTAAGGTTTCTGCCAGAAATGACATGATGCGTACAATGCAGATATTATAGATGATGTACATGCTATTGTTGATGCGCGATTAGATTAGTTTATGGGGTTTGTTGTGTCGGTCCAGTTCAATAAGGAAGGTTGATAAGATCATGGAGGAAATGAAGCCTATGATTGTTTTATCATTGCTTGGTGGTGTTTTAGATGACTTTGCTGCTCCATGTTTGACAAATAGGACATAAGCAGGTAGTTATGTAATGCTGTCCTACAAACTTATATTCTGCCCAACAAAAAAAATTTTAGAAGATAGCTCTTATTTTTATAATGTAATGTGCAAATGATGAAGACTACATGCAACTTATTTGTCTTTGCACCACTGTCTTTGCCTTGATCCAAGGGTTTGGCCGGGCCTCTAGAATATGCTAGCTGCACCAGGAATGTTCTATGCATATAAATTCTCCATGTTGCCGGTCACCAGCAATTGCAATTATAAGATTCTATCTTAAGTTCATGACGGAATACTTCTCTTATGCTTACTGTTTGTGCCACTTCTTAATCCATGGCCATCATGTGTTGATAGATGCCATATTTCTCTTTTCTTCTCTCTTCGTATAAAGTAGCCTCTAACGCTGGAAGTACACATCCCAGTAACCTATTGTTGTGTGTATATTATTCCCACAATTTTCATTAATTTTTGCAATAACATTGCATCATCTTTTGCAAATCAGTTTTGACTATTCTTTTTTTTCAGGAGATTCCTTTCTGATGTATATAATGGTGAATAGAGAAACTCATGCAAGAGCAATACCACCTCAGTTACTGCCAAAAGATCAGAGAATCGCCTTTCAAAAGCTGAGCCAGCATTGCTGCTCTTGAAAAACACATCTATTTCTACTATTTTTGTTTGGTGATATTTGTATCCCAAAACCTATATTTAGACTATATCATGGTGTGTATTTTTGTGCCGTTTTGGTAATTGAGACATTTTTTCTCTATTGGTCATGATTTATGCTACATAAAAGAGACTGTACATGGGAGGCCTCTCTATATACGATATTACTTCTCTTATTTTGTCATTAAAATCATTAGTACAGTTGTAAGTTACTCCTTGGCAAACTCCAATGGTTTATCGGCTTTACAAACACTGTACAACAAACATTGCATAATCTTTATGATCTTCTGCTTAGGTAGTGTATCAGATACTGAAATATGCTTACGCATATTCTTTGTTCTGCTAATGCATTATAATAATACTTTTTATATAAAACAATATGTTTTCTCAATAAAGTTATATTCATGTGTATGTGGCCAGGTGCTATTTTATACGCTTAGTGCATGACATTGTAGCATAATGGTGGCATGTGCATCATCTTCAAACGGCGCAGCGTAGTGCGCATTTCTTTCTAGTATCTTTGGAATGGCAAGACAAACCTATACCCTTTTAGGTGCTAAGCTATACATAATTACTTTTATGTTACTTCAAAGATGCAATTCACAATATTTTAGGTTTTGAAAATTGGACATACTAGAGTGCTTAGGATGCAATAACATACAAAACCTTCGTTAGCCGCATATGATATATAATATAATTATGTTTTCAGATGGGCCAAATGACATGCATCTGTAGCTCATCTCCTGATGAAGGTGGTCATCCCAGAGCTTCAGTATTGTGCGAGCTATTCTGAGATACACTGCCACTGGAGTCGCTCAAATGTAAGTAATTATTTTAAACAGTTATGTTCTACTTGTTTGGTTATTTGTTTAAACAAGTACTAACTGCCCATTCACTTTATATTTGGGGCTCCCATGTAATATTATCCCACCTACCATGGCAAGAGGCTGTCTCAAATATAGCAATGCTCACGCTTCGGCCACTCTTTGTTTTGTGGTGGGAAGATAAGACCAAGGATATGTTCTTCTGTATTGGCCTGGGGATCAACCAACTGATGTTCTAGCTATTGCTAGCTCACCATGTCTAATAGGCAAACACTAAATGATTCGTATCGCCGATTCATAATATTGAGCTTCTAAAAATTATCCCTACAAAGGATTGTGCATATTCAGTCAATGGTGCTTGCCATTTCTGAAACCTGCAGGCTACTTTCACTAAATGGCACAAAATGCCCCTTTGTGTTATTTGCTATAGCTGCAACTGTTGTGATCGGAGATGTTTTGCGATATAGTTACTACATGTATTGATTCTTCCATGCTATATATCCCAGCATGGCACATCACTCTGTAAGGATATAATGCACCTCCAACAGACTGTATGTAATCTAAGCATGAGAACATGCTTACTTACTGAGTGCCTGAATCTAACAGGAGGTGTACATCCTTAAATCATAGCAGTACGTCTATAAGAGCCTAAATTTAAACATAAAACCAATCAAGCTCATTACAGCTTGAAATGAGCTACTTGTTCTGTTGTCCCACACAGGCTAAATTGCCAGCTAAATATAACACTTTCAGTAAGCTCCAATAACATGCGTCTTAGGCTCTTTTAGACACGTCTATTACACCCGCGCGGCGTAGCGCGCGAGACCTTTCTAGTGTAGTCAAAGTGTCCAGGCATTTCAAGTTTGCCATCATTCGAGTTACAAGCTTCTAATTATGTACCTAATACATTTGATATTACCTTTTCAAATCAAATGAACGAAGGGAAACACTCAATCAATAAAAACTATTTGGAATTAAATTTTTTCTTAAACCGTATTTGTTTTGTATGCACAGCTGACCGCAGCGTTACGCCGCACATCCCCTTCTAGTTGGTATTAATCTAGTAGTAAATCCAATCACCGGTCCCTAAACTTGTATACTTGTACTGTTGTGTTATCTCGGTCCCTAAACTCGCAAATCGACCGTTCAGGTTCTCAAACTTGTTCGACTGTGTCATCTCGGTCCCTAAACTTGCAGATCACTTGTTTAGGTCCTCCAACTTGTTCAGTTGTGTCACCCCGGTCCCTAAACAGGACGGTCTAAAAACTTTATATCAAAAAATAATTCATAACTTTTTTATGTGAACTCTAATGAAAATAAACTTTATATCAAAATTGTAGCCCTCGACGCGACCGACAACTTTATAGTTGAAAAGTTTTTGAATTAAAACTGTTTAGGGTCCCAAAATATTGTTGCATGTTTATAGATTTTGAAATTTTAATTAAATTACATTTTGGGACAAAAAATGACTTAAAATTAAAAAAAAAATTCAACTACAAAGTTGTAGATCGCGTCGAGGGCTACAAGTTTGATATAAAGTTTGTCTTCATTAGAGTTCACATGAAAAAGTTATAAATTATTTTTAAATATAAAGTCTTTAGATCGTCCTATTTGACCCAGATGATATTCAAATCCAAGTTTAGGGACCGGGGTGACACAACTGAATAAGTTGGAGGACCTAAACGAGTGATCTGCAAGTTTAGAGACCGGGATGACACAATCAAATAAGTTTGAGGACCTGAACGGTCGATTTGCGAGTTTAGGGACCGGATGACACAACGGTACAAGTTTAGAGACCGGTGATGAACTTTACTCTTAATCTAGATTTGTTCAGCTCTTCAGAGACATCATCTGGCTTGCTGGAGCTGTGCTGATACGCGAGCTTATGGGAGAAACTGAACTTCTTTCAAGGCCGGGCTGCGGACGGCAGAGTTCGAGGAGAGTTTGCCCACGCCGTGCTCACCAACGACCGACGTTCTTGACTCGCCGTCAATTCCAGCCATTGCTGTCCAGGTGCTTTATTTTTTTTAAGACAGCTAGGAAGGAAACCCGCGCACATGCGCGGGCACTTATTTAATGGGTTTGAAATTTTCTTATGAATGTTTTATGGGTAACCTTTTTATTGAAATGTTTTCTACTCTATTCTAAACATGTTTTTTTTGTCAATGAATTATTTTTCCTAATTATCCTTGCGGCATATAAATTATAAACTAAAATTACATGGAACTTTTTGGTTTTTAATTTATGAGAAAATATTGTGTCGTAATAACCTACTCCCTTGAGTTTTAAAATTATTGACGTCTTAGGCTTTGACATTAAAGTTGCCAGTTCTTGACGTTCTAAACTTAGCCTACTTATAAGCCATTAAAGAGCATGTGCTGCATGCATGTTTTCTCATTGCTACAGCACAGCTGCTTTGCCTTCCTCTATTCGTGCTTGCCTGCTTGCATTCTCGTGTGTTTTTCTTTTTTTTTTTGAATATTTGGCATACCTTGATATTTTTAGTTTCTAAACTAACATTTTTTTCTTTGTATATTATATATGTCCTTATGGATTTTAGGATATATTAATTGAAGATTTTTCTATTCAAAATATGGCTAGTAAGACTACTTAGGCCCCCTTTGAATTGGAGGAAAAACAAAGGAATTGAAATCCTACACTATTCATGCCTTTGATTCGTAGGAATGAGAAAAAGAAAAACGTAGGAAACTTTCCTATTCCTACAATTCTAGAGCAAAAACGTAGGAAATTTAACATCCACTCTAACCTCTTGGAAAACTTTCCCAGAGTCTATCTCTCTCATCTAATTCCTGCATTTTTCCTGTGGTCTAATCAAACGGTCATTCCTATATTTTTCCTGTGTTTTGCAATCCTCTGTTTTTACACTTGCATTCCTACCAAAATCCTGTGTTTTTCCTATTCCTCCGTTTTTTCAATCCTACGATTCAAAGGGGCCCTTAATGTCACTAAAGATAGACTTATATTTATTTCGATTCCCTCCTGCGCAACAAATTCGAGAATCCAAATTTTTGTCTCAAGATGTTAAGGGTTGAGTACCACATGTCACATCTACAAACATATATTGTTTATTACCCAATCTTATTCCAACCACCTTACCCAATCTTATTACGGATATCATAGTACTTTTCCTTCCTCCTTAGTTGCTCCTAAAATCCTAGTATCCCTTATATTATATGATATAGATGGTAATTACCAAGAGCATTATTTATAGGCATTGACATAGCCATTTATGTTGGCAATAATAGACACTTCTTTACTAAGTCTACTCTCATCACTCCAAAGTGATTTCCATGGATCCCACCATGCCTGTTTAAAAGAAGTCAAAATGACAGGTGGCGTTAGTGATCGGAGGTCCCTGGAGCTGAGATATATAGATGATGCGAGAGAGAGAGAGAGGATGATCGATCCTATATGTCTGATGCGGTGTGATTGTCACAATAAAGGTGGACGATAGACCTCAAATTTAGGAGTGGTGGGAGTTGATATTGGGGCATACTATAGCAAAGGAGTTGACTACGTCAGCTCTTCAATTGTGCCTTTTGAACTTTGGATGTCATGTGCTATAATAAATTAAAATTAAGGATATAAATATGTATTTTATAAAATTATAGATTTGGATAACACCCATTTGAGAAGAAAAGAGAGGGGAAGAAACACATGATGGTGGAGGCTTGAGGGATAGGGCAATGACTATACTTTGGCTTTTTAATGGCCCACAAACTTAATTATGGTTTTAGTTGTTAGAGAGGGAAAAAAAAAAGGAAAGATGTGTGTGTCGTGGAAGGGCGCAAGCTGCATGGAGGAGGGTGGGGAGGACAGAAATCTTCACTTGTTGAAATAATTGGTCCGCCAATTTGATTTAATATTAAGGGTTAGATGTTGTTTTTCTTCAGAATTTTCAGAATTTGTACAATCTTTTCTAATCTTTACAGCTCGATGGCATTACAGGGCGTTCTTGTTTTTATGAAAGTCCTTTTCCAGCAATGTTGATTAATAATTAAACTAACAATAAATGTGGTTAGTGTCATGTATGTGATATCCTTATGTTCATATTTGAAAACAATCCAGCTTATGTTAATTTGGTACTCAATACAGGTCTTTAATTGTTCATTCAATTAATAGAAATACAGTGGTTGAAACCAATTATAAATTGCATGTACAATTAAAAGTTGTGGTAAAAGAATCAAATCATCAATACCACATAAAATCCTCGTATGCATGCCATTAAATCTTTAATATCTTAAAATTAAATATTTTTAAAGTCATTAATAGTTAAATTTATAAAAGTTTGACCACAACATTGTTCAAAACGTCAAGAATTATGGAACCGAAGGTAGTAAACTTTATTGTTGAACATTGTAAAGCAAATTTTGATAGAGTCATATGATATATATATATATATATATATATATATATATATATATATATATATATATAGTAAATTTGTTTGGTGCTCCATGGTGCCCGGGCACCATTGTTGAAATTGAGTATATACCTAATTCAAATGAGTATGAAACTTTTTCAATTACTTAGATATTAACATTAGCTACTTTACTAACTAGTTCAAAGCAAGTTTGAACTGAATTTGAACTTGTTTTTGTTAGATTTTGATTCTAGGTATATAGCATCCATACATATAATTAGTTAGGTATGTAATCATGGATTGTGAAATAAAGTTAAATTTGAGTTGTTTTGTTGTTAGGTATAGGTATGAATCGAGTTATTATAACTAGGTATATACTCACAATTTGAAAATTTTGAAAAATTTGAGTGATTTTGTGTATTTGATATCATGGTGCCCGGGCACCATGGTGCCCCATATGAGTAAGAATTAGTATAATTATTTAAAATTTATTATCACTAATATTAATTGTTATCTCACCTGTACTCATGGAGAAAAGAATGAAAAAGAGGGAAGAAAAAGTATTTATGGTTTTCATGGTTTTCTCGGCTTTATCCTCATTTAATTTCCAATCGTACTTTACGTTTGTAAAAGTAGAGTAGTCTGCATAGATATGCATCGGATCCATATTAAAAGGAATGATTCTTTTTTTTTTTGCGAGTAGTACGTACATACATACCTTGATCACCATCCATATGCATCGGATCCATATTAGTAGGAAATATTTTAATAGATTTAATCTAATGGTCTAAAATATCGGGTCCACCAATTTAAGTGAAAATATGTTTTGCTTTTTTCTTAGAATTTATTTGATTTCTCTAATTTATTAGAGCGCCAAGTGGCGGCTTAGGAGCGTTTATAGGAAGTTTAATGGACTTTTAGTATATAATAGATAGATAGATAGAAGATAGATAGATAGATAGATAGATAGATAGATAGAAGATAGATAGATAGAAGATAGATATATCATTCTGTTCATGTGAAATTTTGGAATTATCTTGCGTAGTAGTAATCCTGTTGCTTAAAATACAGTTCTTGTATGAGCTTTCAAGTCTTAGTTTGCTATGCCATGATGCTTTTATTTGATCTAATAAAGTTGAGAGGTTCCACTGGATTTTCTAGGCAAGTATTTTTGTTCTTTTTTTTTATAATGTTCCATAAT